GCCCGAGGACTGAACCCTGTGGAACCCCACTGCCCACATCCCTCCACATCCCTCCAGGTCCACCTCTTCTGTGAGGATTGTATCCTATCCTAAAACAATTACATTTAAATTTCATGACTGAAACTCAGGCTGTAGAACAAGATACGCTCCATAGATTTAGCATTTTTTCATTCCTAACAGTGGAGTGCAAATGACTAGATATTGAAAATTGATGGCATCTCTTAATCCTAGGATGTAACAATTCCCATCTCTTTAAAAGTAACTAAATAAAGCTTAAAAAACTAAAAGAAAAAAGCTATGCCAAAATAACATATGGCCAGCTTCTCACTTCTAAGCTAATGTACTATAAGTAATATCCCTCTGCCATGATGTGGGTGAAAATTGTGTCTACATTCTGTGTCCCTAATGGTGAATTTCTGCTTTCCACAGTCTGATGTGGGAAGGTGGCCACCCTCACACTTCTCCCAGTGAGTCCAATCCCTTGTGTCAGCCTGAGTTACAGCTGGGACTTTTAAGGCAGGAAGGCTTGATAGCAGAGGAAATCTCAATCCTCCCATATATGAGCAATGCAGAGTAGGAGGCCCTTTTTAGGTTCCCAGGTGCTCTCCCTGATCTCCATGTAGCAGAGCTCTTATAATGCTTTGTGCAGGCTAGGTGGAACAGAGGCATACATAGCTCTAGCATATTTTATGCAAGATTACGTACAGCAAACATAGGATTTTGTTCTGGGTCATGAACAGAGTGTGGAAGAGAGGAGTCTGTATGGGGAAAAAAACAAGATTATCAGACTATTACATCTGGTTTCTTGCTGAGTACAGCCATTTGCTGACTTCAAGCTTTCAACTTTGAAGAGAAGTAGCAGAATCTACCAATTTTACTACCCATTTAGTATTAGAGTGTATCCAAAAATTGCTCACTGCAATTTTATTCTCAGGTCTTCCTTTGTTCTTAAATTGAGAGTAAAGATCAGGTGGGAATCTGACTTGAAGAACTCTGACTTCAATTCATAAAAATGAGAAATTCTGACTTAAACCTGCCTTCACATTTCTTTTTATTGAGAAGTTTGAGTTGGGAAGTTTTTAATACTTTCTATTTGTTTTTCAACTAGTCTACAGACAGAAAAAAAATATTTAAAAAGGCAAAACTGAATTACCTGGGAGAAGTAATAGCATTTTGATGTAGCTTTTTAGTAAAAAAATAATACAGCTATGCAAAGTATATTTATATACATTTATAGGTCCATGGCTTAAAAATCATCCCAAAATAATATTTTACCTACCTAATTATTTCTAGTGTTTTTACATTGCACATCATGTAAACCTCTGATCAATCCCCCACCTTGATGAGTTGACATTCTAGATGTTTCCTGTCAGGACAGTATCCTGCCTTGGATCGGTGGTAACTGCAAGTGAAAACATGGCAGAGTTTACTGTACCATACAAATCATAAAGTTTTGGGTTCTCCTTACATCTCTAGTTACAGATATAGTACTAGAATGCACTTTTGTGATATGTTGGGCACTGAGTTATCTGCATTATTTGTTTTACAAGCATCTCTTATATACAGATAACTTCCTTGGGTTTACTATTTCTAGAGATGATGTTTGTAGTTGGCTGGTCAAGAAAGGGTGTAAAAGCTGGATATACCTATGCAGAGGTGATTTTTGGATTATTTATTTTCTCTGTCTGTGAAATAATGGCATGATAAGTTATGGGTAATGCTTGTTTTCCATTTCTTTAGAGAGTATGGGTTGTCATACCTTTCTTTGAGAGCCAGCATTGGACTATGGACTGCAATTTTATGCATCATCCTTGTTGCAACTGATGCAAGCTCCCTAGTCTGTTACATTACCCGGTTTACTGAAGAAGCTTTTGCTTCTCTTATCTGCATCATTTTCATTTATGAGGCCTTAGAGAAGCTATTTCATCTCAGTGAAACATATCCAATCAACATGCATAATGATTTGGATCTGCTGACTCAATACTCGTAAGTAAGATTTCTTTTGGTAACTGAAGGAGATTTCCTTTTCATAGGTAATGCTTTCACTCTATGAGATAAATGTAGTGCACAGGAGAGAAAGCATTTTCATGCTTAAAACACATTACTTGATATATACAACAACCTACAGACACTGAGAGAATGTTTATCAAAATTACATTTGCTTCACATGCTATTGTTGTCACTTTTTACTTGTTCCATGTGAGTGTAATGAAAGCTCTGCACAATGAGGAAAAATATGCCTTTTAGGTCCTGATTTTTCTGTGGTGATTCAAGTAGAGGTCCAGTTGACTCCAGTAGGATTTTTGCTCACATCAGAACTGCAAGATAAATGCTTGATTTTACATAAGTTTTATTTCATAATGACTGTTTTCTTGAATTTTGCTTCAAATTCAGATTTTCGTGGGCGACTGGTGCCTCCTGAGTCGGAGGGACACCAGTTCACTGACGGAGGGGTGTCCCCCAGCCACCTGACCCGGGGGTGGGGTCCTGCAGCAGCTGATCGCTGGGGTGGTGGGTGTCCCCTAACAGCTGTTCACCAAGCCAGAGGCAAAACCAGAAGTGCAATTCGGCGGCACTTCTGGTTTCATGGCTGGTGCTTCTAGGGGGTGCACATGCTTCCGCGTACACCCCCTACACATTGCCAGTGCAGATTATTATTCTTTCATTTGTATTAGCCTTGTATTAGCCAAATGCAGCTTCCTTAACTTTGAGTTCGATCTCTCTCTCTCTCTTTATATATATATATATCTCCCAAGAGATACTGTGTTAGGAAGAAAAATGAGTAGGTTCAACTGGATTCTCACAGTGGAAAATATTCAGTGAAAATATTTATATTTCCACCATAGAAAAAGTACTGATTATATTTTGTCATTTAAAGGATATTTTTAAAACTAAAGTTACTGACTTGGGCAGGAGTTTGCCCTTCCCACCCTCAGGCTTACTGAAGAGGTGGTTAGTGGAAGTAAGCTTTCGTACTAGAACCTTCAACAAGACATCTGGTTGAGTCAGTCAGGATCCCAGTATTGGTAAGCCCACACATTTGAAAATCATGACTCAGACTCCTCCATAAATGATGAGAAATGCGGTTTCTTTCTGTTTGCTTTCCAAGTTTTAAGCCTTTAATGGTTCAGGTTTTCAATTTTTTCTCCAAACCAAAGAAGGAGTTGAATGCAGAGACTTTTGTGTAATATGTGACTCCAGCCATGGTGAAACACCAGATGTTGCAGAACTCACAATTAAAATAATAACAACTAGCAACAAGGGCATTCCCCTCCATGACTCCTGGTAACCATTGGATATAGAATCTGCTTTGGGCCAAGCCAGCTCCAGAGGCTGGCAGAGAGGTTAAGGGACATTATCACCCTTCTTTTACCATGTCTATAGGCCAGGAGTGGGCAAGATATGGCCTGTGGACCAGATCTGGCCTGCCAAGGGATTCTATCCAGCTTGCAGTGGGTCCCTCAACTCTGCCTGACCCAGGCACCGGGGGGCAGCCTGGGCTGTGGTGTGTGGGGATGGTCTTGCCACCCCCAAGCATGAGGCAAGCCAGGGGCAGCACAGCAGCCAGACTTAGCTTCCCACCAGCCCCTGCAGTGATGACTCCTTCTGGGTGCTGCTGTCCATGTTGCGGCCATCACCAGATTCGGCCCGGTGTATGGGATGGGGCCACAGGCAGTTGGGAAATGACATCCAGGAGCAGCATAGAATCATAGAATCAATGAGTCGGAAGGGACCTAG